ACCACAAAATTTTAGGAGTCTAAAGAGTATTAGGTTGGTAACATGAACAGACAAGAAAGAGGCAAGTATAAGCCGAGCAAGAGATTATAAACCAGTTTAATTATAACCTTTTGAAAAGAAAAAGATGGCTGAGGATGGAAACTTTGTTACTTTAAGGAATAATTACCCAAGCAAAGTGCCGAATTTTGCCTTGAAAAAAAAACAATAAAACACGTTTATTAATGCTTTTAAAGCAAAGCTGAGGTCCGTGAACGATGAAAAACGCTTCTCAGCTTTGCATCACATATATCACAGTATATGTTCTTTAAAAAAGTGCATTTGATGTTTAAGCTGCGAGCGTTTCGCGAAATTCTTAAATCTCATTGGCTGTCGCAATTTCATTCGTGGTCTGTAATATGGTAAAGTAACATGAACATAACGTAGCTCCATTTAAAAGCACGCACAACCCACAATTCCTCTATTCGCTCCGACGAAGGGCTAACGCTCGAAACGTCAGCTTTTGTAATCGTTACGGTGGCCAATTTACCATTTTAACTTTGTTGATATATCCAAATTATTTCGTTACCCCCACCGACGCAGCCCCAAACAGTTTCTTTCGAAACTATCAGCCTTTATTCATTTGTAATATGGTAACTTTTCTATCCAATTCTAAGCCAACTTACAGTGAAAATCGAAAATCGGAGCCGTAAGCGCACTCTTAAGCTTGACGTTTTGACAGAAATGGAATCGAAGGAATTAGAAAGGTTTCGTCTTTTACTGAATCCGCTTTTCACTACGACGCTTATGATCCTGTGAAAACTTGATCGTGGGTGTCGCAGGCAGAAGCAGAAGAACAAACCAATCACACAGCCAGTTTTTACGCCATCCGATGGGTTATTACTTTGACTATCCAGTTTTGACTGGATCGTAAGCGATAGAGATTGAGATACTCGAGCAACATAGCTCACCCCTAAAAACTAAAATACCGTAGAATCTGACAATATTACAAGACCAGTAAGTAAATATATAGCGGTCAGTGGAAAGAACCTTTGCGCCCAGTGAACTTTGGGAAGCACTGTGATATTCCATTGGCGCGCAGCACGTATCAGGTTCGGAAGAAAGGAAGTCAACTGCAGCTTGTGGTCTAAAGCAGTACTGACATTATATGCTTCTGTCTTTGAATACGACAAAACAGTCTTCTATCAATCTAAATAATGCCTGTGGTCACTTTAACTTGTTATGTGATTACCCGGTGAAGGGGAGATCTCTTTACCAAATCAGCCATTTCAAGTTGTGAATTTCACAGCATAATATTCGCAAAACGCCGTTTTCTTAGAATGAGAGGAATCAGCCAACACCATTCGTTGTGTATAACTAACCATTGTCTGGTAAAGTATGAAGATATCTTGTTACAACGCCGAATTTATGCTGGGGGGGAGGTAACTAGCATCCCATCTAAGGGGGAGAAGAAATATTCCGCAACGGAAACCGGAGTTAAGCGTCTATCTGATGGGTCACGTGGCTCGTAAACAGACTTAACCAACGTGTATCCTAACCGTCGGGTATCGTTTTTCTCCTTCTTCATTTACCTTGTTTGATATCATTGTAGATTACTGTTCTTCAAATCATTTGTACATGTATTTCAGATACCACTGGCTATGAAATTCAAGTTTGAAAAGTTATCAGTGCATTCGGTACTTAGTTATAACACCAACCAAAGTTGAAGGGTTTTATTGCTATAAATTCGCAGCAGGAGGAATACAAAACTGTTTTCCTATGTAAATATGCTAACTCCGAAACTGAGGGAAAACAATGAAAAGTACGGTAATTCACAATTCCTTTGTAATGAATTTTCGCAAACAGTCAATTTAACCTTCAAATCTTACAGTTACACGATGTAAAACAAGTCCTCACTCACGCAACAGTATGACCTAACTGACTGAAAAAAGAAATTTATATACTCGAGGAAAATTTAAAGCTCTCCTGATTTTTTTACACATCGGGCGATTATATTAACACAATTTCGCTCCGTGCGACGTATGTACAGAAATAGTTATATGTTTCCTGTGGATAATTTAGAAATACTGAGTTCTGTGTTTCCTTTTGATGATTTAGAATGTTTCTGATTTAAAAATAAATAAATTAGAATGTTTATTTCAAGTGTGATACAAACTAGCTCCTACGTGCCCTGTTAGGAACGATGCAAATTAAACGAACAGGCATAATAAATAGAATTCATAATCAGTTTGAATTCCTAACGCATTTAGAAGATTAACTTTAGATTTTAAGGGGAATTAAGCACATGAAACTACTTCCCCTTGTAAATTGAAATTATAACTGAGCTAGATCATTGCTCACGTGATTAGAGATCGGCGTGCTCTGATTGGTCGAAGAGCGAGTGATATCTCGCTACTATCACGCTGCGCGAGGTGATCATATTACGGGCATTTTACTATCTGGATTGAGCTCGCCTCTGTTAGCTTTTGGTGAAGACTGGAGAATACATTAATTGAAATCAGTCAACCTGAACCCGCCCCACCTTCCCCACCCTCCCTCACAAAATCCTTACGTAGAAAGCGCTCGTGAAGATCACGAGTCACAAGATATTACTCCTATGCGATTCAATAAAGCACTCGCCACAGAGTAACCGAAATATTATGCCTCTTGTGATAACGACTTTCCTCACCCAAATACCCAGTTTTAAACAAAAAATGAAAGAACGCCTCTTCAATTAAATAAAAAAAAAGCCTAATTTAAAATTGGGAAAAAGACTCCGTTTAAGTACACACAAATAAAGCTCTAATGACGTTTAACAGAATCGGAAAAAAATATATACTTATCACTTATAGTTTTTCCCAGTTTGGCTTCA